ATATACACACACACAGGAGTACAAACACACACCCACAGTCAGAACAAGCTATACATAATTAGCATAGGGAGAGAGAGCAGGAGGTAAAAACCGATTGCTGTATGAAGGTCTGCTGGGATTTGCTGTTATTCCATTGCACAAGTAATTACAGCTAAATGGTATTGCTGTTAATCCCTCAAACGCACACACTCCCAGGCAAAAGCACATACACAACCCAGCTCACACCAATGTCTTTTGAATGACTCACTGAGTCTCAACAGGGCTTGACCTGCATCCCCCCTACTTCTGTGCATCCTTCCTCACCTCCCTCCTTCCAGGTCTTTTCTAAGACTGTGTGGTTCTGCTCTGTTTCTTGCTGGCAAAATGCTGTTCCCTGCTGCTGAGCACGCTGTGTCTTTATCATACCCGTTTGCCTCTGATAGCTCTATAAGAAGCCCCGACGCTAAGTGCAAATTGCAGGCAGTCATTTGCCGTTTGTTATTTGCATCTCTGCAATTGCTTCAAGAGGACCAACTATAAGACGGCAGATGGAATGACAGATCTGTGTTTCTTTTAGTCACATTAGTGGGTTAGTGGATAGATGTCTTTACCTCAGCAGTACTCTAACTAGGAAGTCTGCACGACATGAAATTTCTTAGTATGCGGGGAAAGTTTAATAATAAGTACATTTAAAACCAAAGTTCTTTACACCAAAATAAAATAGAATAAACAGGTTCCTAAAAAGGTATGGCTATGGCTCACAGTGTTTACATCAAATAAACCAGTAGCTACCAATCCACCAGTCACAGTTCCAGAAATCATCAGTTTCCAAAAGCTTGAAAATATGTCTTAGTTTTATTTATCTGTGAAACTTCTAATTTGATTATCCCAAAGTTAGCCTGTATTTTAATAATAAACGGAGTTAAGGAGCCCAGGTTATTCTTCGACCTCTCAGTTAATATCTGAGAGCCAAACAATGTGGCATCAGTTTCTTCTTGTGGGACATCAAATTTCATTTTTATTATTAAATTATATCCAAAATTCACTCATGGAGCCTTCTTGTGGCTCAGTGATATCCACAATCCAAGTGTAAATACAGTTAAACCATCAAGAGATTCTATCTTGTGAATAATTTGACGTAGCAGGAGCATGTGCAAAGCATAAAGAACAGACCCCTGTGGAGGTCCAGATGTTATAATAGCTAATGCAGAAGAGTATTTTCCAATGTTAACTGTTTAATATAGGATTTAAGCCAGTTAAGAGTCAAACCCTTAACTTCTCCACAGTGCTCGAAGTACTCAATGCGTAACTCAAGGTCAAAAGCAGCACACAACTCCACATAACTAAGACAGAACAACCAGAATCTGCAGAATATCAGAATATTGTTTGTTACTTTCAACAACGCAGACTCAGTTCTGTGAAACGTCTCATAAACATTGTTCTCGAGTAGAAAGGATGACAAACAAACAAACCTTTCTTAAATTTTAGTCAAAGATGCAGTTTTGATATAGTATCAATAACACTCAGAAGATCCACTTCCAATTTTTTATCCTTTAAGTAGGACGTGACTACTGCATGCTTAAAAGGAACTGTACAGAAGTGAAGTTTGCATTTATAATTCTCAGGACATCACAACCTGATGTAAAAAATATTTCCTCGTCAAACCACGATGGAAGAACAGAAGGGGAACATGTCATGTGAGAAACCAA